AAAACAATTAAACAAGGATGTGTACAAAATGTAAAAGAAATAAAGGAATGAGAAATCAACTCAAATAAGCTGTAACAATTCAGCGAGGAATTGAAAAATTATTCGACGCTCTACTTGAAAACAAACAGTACTAAATAACAAATCCAGTTTTCGAGGACAAGTAAGAACAATTTATTGTTGAATAATTTAACACTTGAAAACTTAGCTCGAAAGTAAACAAGATTCGTGTCAGCATCGAACATGAAAACAATTCATATCAATTTTATTGTTGAATATTATATTGATTACAAATTTACCTTTATAATTTATTTTCATATTATTTTATAATTTGAATTGTAAATTTAATAAATTAATCTAAACTAATTCAACGTATTAATATTTTTTAAAGAATATAATTTAATATCTCACATTGCCAAAGGGCGGTCTCGTGAATAGAACTAACTTCCACGTGCTGAGTCACATCTTATGTTTAATGGAACAGGCATTTTCAACTCCTAGGAAACAGAGCAGTTTTTAATTAATTAATTAAAGATTTATTTGATTCTACATTTTAAATTTTTTTAATTTTTAATTTATTTTAAATTAATATATTTTTAATATTTTAAAATTATTTTAATTTTAATATATTAATATTAAAAATAATTTTTTAAAAAATAAAAACATTATTAATATATATTTTAATATAAAAACTTATTTAAAAAATAACCCTAATTACACTCCTAAATAATTAATTTGCAAGCAGGCTGGGCTGCTGCCGTCAGGTTAGTACAAAAAAAGGTATTTTACTTTCTATGCGTATTTTACGGCAACCGTCAGTTTCTCATTACTCCATGCGTATTTTATTTTCTACGCGTATTTTACTGCTACAGTCAGTTCTCTTGGAACATACCACATCTCTTTTAACTCTATGCGTATTTTACATTATATTTTAATGAACTAAAAAAAGGATCATTTCTGTTTTCGGATTACAGTATTTATATTTGAACAGTGCAGTGCATGAATTGAAAAACAAATTCACAAATCACAGCCGTTTGATCTTATGATCATCTCAAACAAAAAAAAATACAGAATAATTAATCATAGCTCGGGAGCCAGCATGCATGTTTATCAAAACAACATTCATTTTCAAACGATTTAAAAAAAATTCCAAATCGGTTAATGTATTAAAAAAATAATATAATAACTTTTTTTCATATTAATTTTAAATTCCGAATAAAAAATATAAAATCCCTTTTTAACTACCAAATCAACTTTTATTTAATATTAATTTATAAAAAAAAATCTATACTACAATCAGCCCTCCTCGTAAATTAATCTTTAAGGATGATAATGGTCCGTTATATTAGTCAAATGTTATTATTTTTATTTTCTCTTTCAATTAAAATTTAATTAATAATATAAAATAGTATGTAATTGTACAGATTCTGAACTCAAAATTTTTTTAAATAAGAGAATATATTAAAAAATAATTTAAATTATTTTAAACTTCTAGATTAAAATAATTATTCTACGTAACCATCCATTCAAAAGAAAGAGATGAATAAATCACAAGAAAAGGAAAGAGAAAAATAAATAAATAAATAAAATGCTATTGTAACACGCAAAGCAACTGCACAAAATAATACTTCAACATCGAGATTTGAGAGTGGCGCGTGGCTCAGCTGGAGCTGTGCACTGCACCGAGCTACCGACCCTCCACAGTCCATACTGGTCCAGTGGAGACTTCAAATGTATAAAATCTCGAATTGAACGTCCCCGATTCAGTTTCATTCTCGCTGCCTAGTGTCTTGCCTGTTGCCCCATCTAAACGCTAACCAGGCGGACACAGTCTCTCTCTGCTCACAGATTGCAAGATCCACACCACAGGTATCTTTTCTTCCTTTCCTTCTTTGATCTGATAATGCACACCCTTTCCTCTTCTGCTTTGTTGCCGGGAAAATGTGGGTTTAGAAATATGCTTTAACTCCCTGTCTGTAGCTTGTTGAAGGCTGGTTATAAACTTGGCAATTCAATACATTAAGTAAAAAACGAGTTGTTCATCAAATTGGAATTCTGGGTTCATTGGCTATTGGTGATTTGTTATGCTTAACCAGTTTCAGATTCAATAACTTGGGTTTTATTCATGTTGACAAATTGAAGTTTTTGGAGTTGGATTTTTGTGTTTTATGGCTCAATTTGAAGTAATTTACTGCTTCTTCGCGGAAACCTAGCCCTTTTTTGCTGTCTCTTATTTTTCCCCCACTCTTTCTCGATTTTAACTGAATTTGTTTCATTGACGGATCTAGATAGATGTTAAAAGATGGTGCTTGTTCACCTTTTCTTTGTGCAATGTACCATAAAAAAGTTCAGGTATTCCTTTTGTTGTTTTGTTAACATGTGGCCGCCTTTGGGATAAAAATCCTGAATTTGAAGGAATGGGATAAAAAATTCTGAACTAACTTTATGATTTCTTCTCCACTTGCTTGATCAGTGTTCTCAGATGTCTGCTGACATGGAGAACCCTAAAGCTGAAGAGGAACAGAAAGGTACAGGATCCGCCTCCCCTGCTAATGAAACCCAGGCAACCTGGTATAGTGGCTTACTCAAGCAAACATCCATCTATGGCATAGCTGCTGGATATTGCATCTCAGCATCCCTGCTCTCCATCATCAACAAGTGGGCCATCATGAAATTCCCCTACCCTGGGGCACTAACTGCATTGCAGTATTTCACTAGCGCTACAGGTGTACTTGTCTGTGGGTGGTGCAAGGTTTTAGAGCATGATTCACTCGACCTTTTGACCATGTGGCGGTTCCTACCTGCAGCTATTATGTTCTACCTGTCACTCTTTACAAACAGTGAGCTCTTATTGCATGCTAATGTTGATACCTTCATTGTCTTCCGTTCATTAGTCCCCATCTTTGTTGCAATAGGAGAGACCTTGTTTCTACACCAGCCATGGCCATCATTGAAGACATGGTTGTCTCTTTCTACCATCTTTGGTGGAAGTGTGCTATATGTGCTAACAGATCTTCAGTTTACAGTTATGGCTTACAGCTGGGCTCTAGCTTATTTGGTAAGCATGACTATAGATTTTGTGTATATCAAGCATGTTGTTATGACCATTGGTTTAAATACATGGGGTCTCGTGTTGTACAACAATCTTGAGGCCCTCTTACTCTTTCCGCTGGAATTGCTTATAATGGGGGAGCTTAAGAAGATAAAGCATGAAATTTCAGATGAGTCGGATTGGCACTCATTTGCGGTGGTTTTGCCAGTTGGTTTGTCTTGTTTGTTTGGTTTAGCCATCTCTTTCTTTGGGTTTTCTTGCCGGAGAGCAATCTCTGCTACAGGATATACAGTTCTTGGTGTGGTGAACAAGTTGTTGACTGTTGTAATCAATCTGGTTATTTGGGACAGGCATTCAACATTCATTGGGACAGTGGGACTTCTTATTTGTATGCTAGGTGGCATCATGTATCAACAGTCCACAAGCAAGCCTAAGGCTGTGCCTGAAGTAAAAGCAGAGCAAACCGATGAAGAACAACAGAAACTACTAGAAATGCAAAGCAACATAGAAAGCAACAATAATGAGAAGGAAGCTACCCAGTCAAATCAGGGAAAATGAGGTAGATTTTTCGTGTATTGACTTCTGGTTAAATATCCGGGTGAAGATTTTCCGATTAGTAAATTGTTCAGATGGCAAATTCTCATCTTAGCAATCTTGATGGTTTGTGCTTGGAAAAAATATTTCTAGTTGGATATTGGGCTTCACCGAAATTACTTCTTTATGCCGCAGAATTTATCCTGGAAAAACAAATTAGGTGGAATGCTACATTCTTGTTAGATTACCTCCAGTTATCTGAATAGTCACAGCAGTAATATTCTGAAGCCCAAGTTCCTGCTGCTTCTGGCTGAATGCATCCAATGAAGCCTGCTAGGTCATATTGATTGTAGTATCTTTTGGGTTACAGAACATGAATTTCTTTTTCACTCCATTCTTTTGCAAATGTTAGTACTTTTGTCAAAGGTAGAACTTCATTCAAAGCCAGACCCTAGCATCTGCCTCCAGCATTATGATTGGCGGGGTTTTGGTCATTGCCTGTATTTCTTGTTTGTTTTTCTTCGTAGCCCACAACCTGTATTTCTTGAAAACAACAATTAGTTGAATCATTTTACTCCCTTCTTCCTTCTTATGGAGCTTCATTTATCTCAATCATAATGTATTAATTTTCTCCAGCTTGGTAAGTGGTATGTATTGACCTGGTGCTGAACGCAAAAATGCAGTGGCACAGACTCGTTTGGTATAGAGGGGGAGGAGGAAAAGGAGTTGAAATGATTAAACATCCAAAATATATCTCTGTTGGGGGACTCTTAACACAATATGACAGAAATCCAGCCGGTTTTAGCATTAATAAAGGATTCTACTTGTGGGATCATCAAATAGCTCATCTTATTACATCTTTTCCTTTGCGGCTATTAATACTGTCAGCTGAGTTATGCCGTTTCTGGAATATTAGGAAAATGCTTAATGAAAGAGAACCGAACATGCCCTAAATGCTCCATTTTTCCAATAAAAACAGAAAAAAGGCATAAGAAAAAAGAACTTCGTGTTCAAATACTGCGTTTTTATCAAGTCGAGAAAGGAAAAGAATTTTTATATTTTTCGAAGATGTTTTTTTATATATATGTTTTTAACCTGTATTTCCATTATATTGTTGCAAGCAACAATGATATGGATCCTACAGCTATAGAATCAAGGAATAATAGGGTGAGATTAAATCTACAAGCCCTGCAATGATGGACTTGTAACAATGGAATAGTAGCAGGTGAAGAAGAAGAAGGTGGGAGTAGACAGAAGGGGAGAGAGAGTCAGAAAGACGAGGAGAAGCTGTCAGAAAGTCTGTTTAATGCCATGCCAACACGTGGCACTACGACAACAAACTCTAAGACTTAAAACGGTGTGTCGCACCAGCAATGCTATAACTATTAAACAAAGCGGTGCGTATTACTCAGAGGTCATCCCTACTTAAATTTCCATCAACCTTTCTGTTCCCTCTTCTCAATCTAGAACCCTGACATGTATTTTTATGGGTTGTTCCTAGATGTCTTCTTTCCTCTGATTTGTTTCTTGATTTGTTGGGCTTATAAGATTCTCTTCTTGCCATTTTGTTTATGTAATAGCCATTCAATATTGTTGCTAATAATCCAGAATTATTGTATTTTCCAGAACCCGAGAATTTTTCTTCCTTCTATCTGATCATTGTCATGTCGATAATCACCGGTGGAAATTGCCATGTTTTAGCTTCAAACTCCCTCTCCCTCTCCCTCTCCCTCTCCCCTCCTTTTCTACTTGGGTTTCTACGATCTTAAACTTCAAACATCAAGCTCCAAGAATTATGAATTCACTGCTTGGTTTAACGTTTCTTAGTTAACATCCTTAACGTGTTTGGAAAAATGTCCCAATGAAACTACTGTTAATAAAACTTGCTAAGAATTGATACTTTTAAGCTTAAACACAAATGCACTCAAGGGCTTTAAAAAATCTTGTTATTTTTAAGCATTTTTTTTTGTAGTACTTATCTTTGGATGTTTTGAGGAGGAGAGGAATGTCAGTCTTGCAAGGGACTTGCAGTGGAACTGGTCAAGCGTCCCAGTGAATATGATTGTATTAAGGTTCTTCTGTTACTGAACAGGGCCTTAGCTGCGAGATCCAAAACACATCTAACATGGAGTGCTACTTTTCATTGACAAATACTTCATAGTTTAGATTGTTTTTACCATTATCAACTAAGTGGCTCACAAACAACTAAGTTTGTTATATGTTTGGATCTAGTTAGGGTTCTGGTGTTTCAAGGATTTATTGGGTAGGGTTAGGTTTAGCATTTCTTTGTTACTGAGAATTTTGTAGATTAGATAGAGATGACTTGTTTTTCTGTTTGGTGTTTTTTTATAGGGAATGAGACTTGCAAAATTAATTAAATTAGGCTCGAAAAAGGTGGAGGTGCTGAGAAATTAGCCACGTAATGCGTGGCTGCGTTGGATGGATAGGTGCTTTTGTGTTTATGTTGTGATAACACTGTGGGTTGCGGGAAAAACTGAAAGAAAGAAAGCGAAGTAGGAGAGATGGTACTTGTGGTTTTTTATTCTGGGTGAATTTTTAAATGCTAACAAAAAAAACTTAACTAAACTTCGTAGACTCACATGCATTGTTTTGCCCAGGCCTTTTTTGGAAGGATTCCTAGATTCGATGATGGCTATTTGGTTATTGCTTATTCTGAAGTTATTGTTAACTCCATTGGTTTGTTTTTGCAATTCATCTCTTGGTGTTTTGTGTTTTTGCTGGATTCCCACTAGGATAACGTGAATGGGAAATCAAAACTTAACCGAATTTAATCGTTACAAGATGAACCATATTGGATATAATGTGTTTTAATATGATTCGGTTTTGCAGATAATTTATATTTTGAAAAGTTAATTGAGCAGCTACAAGAAGCGGCCCTCTGGAAGAAGAAGAGTCATACAAAGATGATCTAGTTGAATTGTCAGGCGAGGAAGATGCAGAACTGAATGCTGAAATGAACGTATGCATTTTTTTTTCCTGCCCCTTTCTGTTTTGTTAAGAATAAAATGCTCTATATACTCTTATAGTTACCAAGGAAAGGAAAACAAAATATCCCCTTGTTTAGAAGCTTCCTTTGTTACTGTTTTATCGACATGTCATGTTATGTTGTGTTGTTGTGTGTCTGCATGTTGTGTTGTTTGCAACTATAGGATAATAGGTCCCACCTGCAAACTCACACATGGAAATGGTCATATGGTTTTGTTTGGGTTATAGTTTTCTGTTACGTAATATCTTACAATAAATTTTGACGAGCTTGACTTACCTGCTAAAAATGGAAGAGTGGATCCAGCTTTCTAAATGTTTTCGCGCAATACAGAGATACAAGCATAATAGGATAGTACCAGTGTAAGAACTTTATCTTCACTTGATTTAGAAGTTGAGGGGAGCCCAACTTTGGGTCCTGGATATGGCCTTCAGTGACTTTTTCTTAGATGGTCACGATCACTGTTCTTACAATTAGAACTATGTCTTTCATTGGCTCATCCTGTGTTTCCCTTGCTGCTTAGTTGCAGTAATCTAATCTGCAATAGTGGCACCAGTAGGAAGGGGGAGGGTTGGAGGCTCAAATTTCACCTTTGAAAAATACACACATTTATGCCAATGTTAACATATAAAAATCACTGCTGATATGTATAGATGTGCTTGCAGGATGAAGTGACAAAACCCAAGCAGGATGAGGATGTAGGAGTTGAGGAAGATCAGGAAGAGAATGTTTCTGAAGACCACCATGGTCCACTGAAATCTGGTGATGGTGATGAGGACATAGATATATGGAGTTCATTTAGAAGTGAATTTTAGTTATTATGCTTAAGGTGGGAGAGGAGTCTTGTTCATATTGCTTTTTGGTCATTTTTCCCTTCTCCAACGCATTCCATGCATTTTTTTTGTTTCATCTCTTGCTTCTGTTTTGCATCTATTGCATGTTATCATGGGGCGTCTTATCTGTTTGTTCTTAAGTTGTGTGATGGCTTAAATCTCTTATGCTTCCCGAGCAGGCTCGATATGAAGCTTTAATGAGGCAGGAAGAGCTGCTTGCTTACATAGATAGTCAAGAAGAAGCTGAGTTCCACCGGGTAGGGGGAGATTGGTCTCTGTTTAATTCTATTTAAGGAGTTTATTTTTTTGCTTTTTACAATGTGGCTAACAATGGTTCTTCCTGCATATCAGGAAAAGTAGTTGTGCTGGTAAAGCTTTTTTATGCCAAGGGAGAGAGTATATGGCGCTCTTGTTTGGTAATCAAATGTGTTGTTTCTATACGAATCCTCCAGAAAATATGCTCTTGAGCCCAAATCGAAGTGCATTTAAGTGAGAGATCTTAGAGCAGAGAAATAAAATGGGGCAATTAGAGAATAAGAGTGCACTAATTAAAAATAACTCAGGGCATCTCTGTTAGTTGAAGTGATCGATACTCGAGATATAAGACAATAAAATTTAAAATGGCGAGTCTTACAACAAAAGAGATGACATAGAAGAAAAAAGCAGATTGCAGAAAACAATCAATTATGCCAAGCAAAGTTCTCTCTATGTGCCGCATAAGGTCTTGTTAATTTAATTTTCTATGGCAGTGTGGAACTTTGGATACACCTTCGAGATCTCAGGTTAATCGTGACTGAACAGCACTGTAGGGGATGGGAACCATCTCAGAGAATTAAATATCTTAAGGTAAGATGATTCCAGCTACAAAAGCCTTGGCCAATGATTTTAATCTTATTTCTCCAAGCCAACTTAGTAAAAGGATGGAAAAACACTAAATCTGTCAACCTCTTGAGGCATATAGTTTTCAGAATGAGCTTGTTGAACAAGGCAATGCAAACGAAAAAGTTCTACGGAAAATCTTCCTAGTAGAAATAGCATTTGATGCAAGGATGTCATTCTGTGAAATCACAACACTTGGCAAGTTCATCATACATCACTTGGCACGGGTAGTTTGTGAGATTTTGTGTGTGTATAGACTTTTCCTTTGTATTAATTGAAATCATTCTTGGGAGAGACCGGGGGACATCTTCAGGTTTATAATCTTGAAGTTCATTATTGTTAGAAATTGCCCTCCCAAATCTTGAAGCAATAGCTGTAGATGAGAGACCAATCTGTCATCACACGAAATGAACTGTGCATGAAGCTGTTAGGGCTCTGAATGGGCACTTCAACATCATGTATGAAAATATTTGAACTGGCCAAAAATAATCCTAAATTAAAGGAAGGACTTGAATATACCTTTGAATAGCCCATCCCACCGTAGATATCCCCAACAATCATGTCTATAACTTGGTTACTTCCCCGGGGACCCAACTCCGGCAACTCATGAAAACTGAGAAAGAGAATGCGTCAGTGTCCACCAACTACGAAAGTATATACAAGGGAATTCATAAGGGCCAAAGATAGGAAAAAACCCGAACTGCTTCTGGCATTTTGTTAATAATTTTCCCAAACCCCAAAGAAGTTCCACCACCAACACTTGTTCTACCAACTCGCTCAAATTTTCCATCTCCATCCACCTGTAGTAGCCCAAAACCGAGTATCAGTTAACATATAAAAACGTTATAGATACATAAAACGAATCATAAACAATAAAGGTAAACTAATCTGATACTGATATGAGTACCTTGATCATGCTAGCTCCAGATCCAATATCAACGAGTAGATAAGGATATAAATCCATCATTATGCACAAATTCCCTCTGACCATTCAAGGATGTGAAAGCTTCATGATTATAAAGCAAAGGCAAGGGAGGGGGGGAAATGATGGCATGGTAGGTAAAAGTTTCCCTCCCTGAACATACGCACGCACAAACAAGGGAAGTCTTCCCTTTGTTGAAGAGGGAATCGAGGCACAGTTATACAATGACATCTACCAACTGCAAATGAATCCGAACAGGAGGAGAAATTTTTGAAACTCTTTCTTTTCTAAGATGGAGGTGCTCGTTTCAATAGTGGCATCAGAATATACCTCTCGCAATACCCTCTACCAAGAATCGGGACCTAGGGAGAGATCTATTACCATATTCTCAAACCTCAAACATAAATCTTCCTTAGGATGGGGTTTACATATGGCAATTTATAATGCAAGTGAGTTGCCGTATATCTTCACGGCTAATGTGAATTATTTTAGTTATTAAATTTATTTTCCCAACAAAAATGAAGCTAGAAATTTTAGTTTTCGAAGTCAAAATTTAAAATTTTCTACTTTTAAGATTGAAAATCTAATTCGTTGAAGGAGGGCCAGAAAAAAAGATTTTATTTGTCGGGGTAGGGCTCCTGCTAGCTCTTTAAGAGTGTGTTTGGTATTGCAGTAGATATTGTGGTTGTGATTTAAAAAAAATTATTTTATAAAAAGTACTTTTAGTTGAGGTTGGTTTAAAAAAATAGATATTTGGTTAAAACTGTGGTTGAAATTGAAGTTGAAGAAAAAGTAATTTTATGTGTTTGGTTAAAAAAACTTTTGAAATTAAAGTGATAAAATAATTTTTAAAAATATATATTAATATTGATAATTTTAAATTTAACTATTATAGAATTAATTACTCCTATTATATCATGAAATAAATAATACTTCATATAAAATATTTTTTTTATTTTATTAAACTATTTATAATTACATTACGTATAAAATTTATTCGATAAGAATTATATTTTTTATAATTTTTTAAGCATGTAACAAAATTAGATAAAATATTATTAAGTATAAAATTGATATTACAGTGCGAGTAAATTTAATTTACTCTATATTAGTTTTTCGAGAAAAAAATATTGTTCACATCACGGTACAAATAAATTTAATTCACTATAAACTAGTTTTTTAAAAATATTAATAAAATTAAAAAATATTAAAAAAATTAACACTTAAAAAAATATTAAAAAAAATATTAAAAAAATTAACACTTAAAAAAATATTAAAAAAATTAACACTTAAAAAACATTAATAAAATTAAAGAATCTTAATAAAATTAACACTTAAAAAAATATTAATAAAATTAACACTTAAAAAATATTAATAAAATTAACATTTAAAAAACATTAATTAAATTAACACTTAAAAAAATATAATAAAATTAAATGAAAAAAAAAAAACAAACAAAATGTATTAACAGTGCAAGTGAATTGCACTGTTCACGTGAACAGTGCAGTTCATTGTGAACACCGCAGTGAATTGCACTGTTCAAGTTAATTGCATTGTTCACTGTACAGTGCAATTAACGTGCACAGTAAACTGATTTTTTTTTTTATCAAAGGGCTGCAAACTGTATTTTAATTAAAACGTAGCTGCAGCCACATAAACAAACGGCATCTAAGTCTGCTCATGGTCATCGAGAACTTTCAAATGATTTTGATGATATTGTGATTGAAGTTTCAGCATGTTTTTGATATTTTTTTTATTATTTTTTTCTCTATTTTTTTATTATAATTTATGCTGTTCATTTAACAAGTTTTTTGAAATGTTATGTTTCTAAATAATAATTTCATGTGTTTTAATCGTGACAATTATAAACTATATTAATTCATCAATTATTTTTAAAATATGTTATTTTGTCATTTTTCTAAGAAAGAATATGCTAATAAGCAAAAATGGACAAAAAAAATCTTTTTTTTTTGGGTCTTGTGAACGTGTGGCTACTGCCTTTGGGATAAAAATTTCTAAACTAACTTTATGATTTGTTCTCCACTTTGCTTGATCAGTTTTCTCTCGGATGTCTGCTGACGTGGAGAATCCTAAAGCTGAAGAAGAACGGAAAGGCACAGGATACTCCTTTTTAGAGAATGTGTGTGTACTTTCGCATAGCTTTAAAAAGAAATTTGAAAAATAACACAGGTTCAAAATTGGGGAAGTAATAAAATTGAATTGTCATGATTTTTTTAAATTGTTAAATAACTGAAAAAAATTATGATGCGAAAAAATGAGAGAAAGTTTTTTTAAAAAAATATACTAAAATTTCAATGATAATATTACCTATACCATTAAAAAATATTAATAAAATTAACACTTAAAAAATATTAATTAAATTAACACTTAAAAAACATTAATTAAATTAACACTTAAAAAAATATAAAAAAAAATTAAATATATAAAAAAAAATAAACTATATTAACAGTGCAAGTAAATTATATTATTCACGTTAACAGTACAGTTCACTGTTAACTTTGCAGTGAATTGCACTGTTCAAGTTAATTGAAAACTCCCTCTCCTGCTTAATGAAATCCCAGCAGCATGGTAGAATGGCTTTCTCAAGCAAACATCAATCTATGCTGTAGCTGTTGGACATTGCATCTCAGCATCCCTGCTCTCCATCATCAACAAGTGGGCCGTCATGAAATGTTTACAGTAAGTTATTTGTACAGAACTAAATAATGCAGTCCTTTTATATTTACAGCTCATACACGATAGATTAGAAAGAAAAAAAAAATTGTCTTGTTATATTAGTTTTTACCTCTAAAATATTATTCTAGCTTCGCCAAGGCCATCGTCGAAGACAGGGCTGTCTTTATCCAACATCTTTGGTGGAAGTGCCCTCCTGTATGCGCTAACAGAATACCGGTTCGCGGTTATGGCTTACATATGGGCTCTAGCTTACTAGGTATAAGCATGGCTATAGATTATAGATTTTGTCTATGTTTGGGAAATTTTGAAGTTTTAAAAATCATGTTTTTCGAAATTTTGATTTTTTTTGTTAAAACTTCATTTTTTATATATTTTTATATTATTTTGATATATTAATATAAAAAATAATTTTTTAAAAAATATATTATTTTAATACATTTCTAATATATTATTATAACCACTGGTTTGAGTATATGGAGTCGCGTGTTGTACAATAATCTTGAGGGCCCTCCACCTCTTTCCGCTGGAATTGCTAATAACGGGAGAGTTTAAGCAACAAAAGACTTGATGAACAAGGAATTGCAGATGGGTAATACTCGAGAACATCTTCCTTGTGCATCAAATCTTTGACGTCCAGGAAATCATTTGTACCGTAAAATGTATATCCTAGCACATCACGTTTTGAGTAGTGGTAGTAGCAAGCTAACCCCCTTGTACTGTTTATTGGGTCGACGAAAGAACAAGATGGCGAAAACATATCAGAAAAGGGAATCAAGTCTTCACTACCTCCTCCTCGGCTGCAGTCACCACCATTGGCATCAGAGCTTGGAACTCCTCTGGCCATTAGCGAAACAGCCCAGAAGAGAGACAGCTAAATAAAGAAAAGAGATCGAGTGGTGATGATAATAAATAAATGAAAGTAATATAAATGAAACACAGATTATTGACAACATTTTCCAAAAGTGTCCAAAGACATGTTAAAAGTACATGAGCAAACACCGAATTATCCTTTTCCCAGAAGAATCATAATCTCTATGGGAAAGTGAATCTCAGTTGATACAGCTTTGAAAAGAAAAAAAACTAACAGGACTGCTGGTGCCTTTAGGTCACTAACCACCCACACTATTTCGGTAGTTTCTTCATTTATTTCAAGATGTTCATCAATTGAGCATTTGCTGCACAGAAGAAAGGGAACTCATTATAGCTCAGGTAAAAAACCTTGGAAATTTATAGCACTTGGAATTAGAAATAGCTAAAGAGAAACCTAGAAAACGAGTCAGTATCTAAATGCATTCTCCACCTCCCAAAATGCGTGCTTGTAATGCCTGGGTGGGTCTACTCGATGTAGTGCTGGATATTTTCACTATCAGACTACACAACCCAATTATTTAGCCTCTCGATGATTTTATCTTTCAGGTGCTAGAAAGGACAAAATTGAGAAAACAAATTAAAAAATGTATCAAGATCCTTATGTTTAAGGGCATTCGTCCTACAGAGTTGTAATCAGATATCTTGGAAAGTTGTTCATCCAAAAATTAGATACCACATATTCTAATGCTGTTGAAATTTATTGCTGCAACAAAAAATCACCTGAAACAGAACACGTGTTGATGCATATGCATATAGGTACTATTTTAGGCAAAAGTATATAGAGTATCTACTTCACTGACAAATCAACCTTGGATTACTTTAAAAAGGTCAGTAGCTCTTGATAATCCTCAAACACTATTTCTGCATTGTTCTCCTGTGTTTTCCCCTTATAATACAAAATGCATCGTCCATTTTTGTTATTGGAGGGGATAGTTACCCTTATACTTCCTTCCTTATCACCGCATTAATGGGTTGTCAAGGTTTTGTACTAGTTGGTGGGAATTGATCACAGTGAAAAACCCTCCAATCCTCTTAGTCAAAGGTTCCGATAAAGATTGAATGGTTTATTCCCCTCTTCCCCCCAGTTCAAGGAAAAAAACAGTCCTATACATAGTGCAAGAGGCTGCTAAGGAAAAAATTTCCTTCCTTCATTTCTGATTTCGGTTGTTCTTCTTCAAGAATAAAAACAGTTCTAACATCCTCCAAACAGGGAAACGAGACAGCATTGTAGTGATCACCTTCCAACATGCCTAGCATAAATCAAGCTTCTTTTCTTTCTTTCTTTCCTTCCTTCCTTCCTTCTTTTCTTTTCTTTTCTTTCCTTCTCTTTTTTGTTTTTGTTTTTGTTTTTTTTTTCTGGTGGGATATTACAGCCTAATTTGAATAAACAAGCAAAACCTTGACCATCAATCTGCCCAAATTTATGAGCTTTTATCCATGACACTCCTAACTTCGTGCAAATAATCATGACAACCCATGTACATTAATTGACCATATAGAACATCATAGTATATTGTCTTTTTAAAGTCTACTTGAGAAGAATAAGATTTAAGTAGAAACCTGTATAAAATTCTTAAGCAGCAGCCTCCAGCAATTCCCTTTCTGCACGCTCCTTAATCCTTCTCTCAAGCTCTGGCCTAAAATGCCTTATGAGACCCTGTACAGGCCAAGCTGCAGCATCACCCAAAGCACAGATGGTGTGGCCCTCAATCTGTTTGGTCACCTCCTGAAGCATATCTATCTCTTCCAACTTTGCATTCCCAACCTTCAACCTTTCCATGATCATCCAAAGCCATCCTGTTCCCTCCCTGCATGGGGTGCACTGTCCACAGCTCTCATGCTTGTAGAAGTAAGACAGCCTTGCAATTGCATCCACAACATCAGTAGATTTATCCATCACAATCACCGCTGCAGTCCCCAATCCTGATGTGACAGCTTTAAGTGCATCATAATCCATAAGCACGTCATCACATATGTGCTTGGGAAGCAGTGGGACAGAAGAACCCCCTGGTATCACAGCAAGTAAATTGTCCCATCCACCTCGTACACCTCCACAGTGCCTCTCTATTAACTCCTTCAGTGGTATGCTCATCTCCTCTTCAACTGTGCAAGGCTTGTTCACATGACCTGACACGCAGAATAATTTTGTCCCAGAGTTGTTCTTTCGGCCAAAACTTGCAAACCACTCTGGACCACGCCTTAAAATGGTGGGAGAGACAGCCACTGTTTCCACATTTGTAACAGTGGTGGGGCAGCCATACAGCCCAGCATTAGCTGGGAAAGGAGGCTTCAATCTTGGTTTCCCTTGTTTTCCTTCAAGGCTTTCCAAAAGCGCTGTCTCTTCACCACAAATATAAGCACCAGCACCGTAGTGGATATGGACATCAAAATCATAACCAGATCCACATGCATTCTTGCCCAACAGCCCAGCTTCATAAGCTTCTTTTCTGGCTCTTTCCAGATTTTTTCGTTCATTCACATATTCACCCCTAATGTAGATATATGCAGCAGAAGCTCTCATCCCTACCCCAGCAATCAAGCATCCCTCTAAGAGCTTGTGTGGATCATGCCGCATGATTTCCCTGTCTTTGCAGGTTCCAGGTTCACTTTCATCAGCATTGACGACAAGATAGGAAGGGCGACCATCAGATGTTTTTGGCATAAATGACCATTTGAGACCAGATGGGAAACCAGCACCACCGCGTCCTCGGAGGCCGGACTTCTTAACTTCATTAACAATCCAGTCAGTACCTTTGAGCACCAAGTCCTTAGTTCTATACCAGTCACCCCGTTTCATGGCACCTTTGAGGAAAGGGTCATGCAATCCATACACGTTAGTAAAAATTCGGTCCTCATCTTTGAGGCCTCCAAAATGAGTTTTCTCCGGAGGTGGGGGAGGTGGCGGAGGCTGAGGAGCACCAGCATTTGTTGGAGCTTGGGTACTGAATGACCTGAAGCCAACTCCCAACCTCTCACTTTGACGCACCAAAGCTGTTCTTTGCAAAGAAAAAATACCCCTAATGGGTGCCTATGCAAAAAAATATATATATATTAGGATATGCCATAGCATTATGAAGTTCACAGGTTCATTCAAATACCTAATTTAACATCCATGTCCAGTACATTTCTTAAGAACTCGAGATTCACAACAAAAAAAACATAGAATTTGTGCAAACTAACAAGTACAGCTGACAAACCATCATCAACGAAATATGATAAATCTAAATACGCCAGTCCAAGAATAGAGCTCAAATATACCAGTCAAACCCGGGCTGATGCCCATCCCAGAACAACAAGGAAAGGCCAGTAACATTTCATCCAAAAGAAAAGGGCCAGTAACATTTCATCCAAAATTAACAAATTCTACCACAAACACAAGAAAAATTTAACTTTCAAAAGCAGCGTAATTTTTTTTCAAGATCATGAATTCAGTAATTTCATTTTACAAAATTCTTGAAATTTAGACTAACAGAGAATTACCAAAACACTAAGCACACACTCAAAAACAGTTTATCACAGAATATCCCTAATAAGCTTTAATTAAAGCTTCTAACAAACACAGAACTTGTGCGCACTAAGTACAGATGCAAAACCATCATCAACGAA